CGGTGTTGCCGGTCACAACAAGAGCAGACGCACTCGCTGTCACTCCATTGCCGAACACCAAGCCGCGTTCGGCGTACACCTTGCTCTCCGTCACGCGCAGTGCGCTGCCCTCCGACGCCGCCACACGCACACCGGCATATAACGCGTACTCGCCGCCAAACACGACTGCGTCCAGCGCGATGCCGCCGCCGATGAGCTCTAGCGCCGCACCATCGGCGACCAGTGTCCGCCCGCCCGCCATCACCGCCACCAGGGACACATCGTACACAACCAGCACGGACTGCACGAGCCGCAGGTTCGACAGCACCAGCACCGGGGCGTATAGCGCAGACTGCGAGCCGGGCAGGTACACAAGCGGAGTAGACGCCGCAGTGATGAGCAGCGAGTCAGTCACAGTCAGCACCGACCCAGCAGAGAACGTGCCAGTCAGCGCAATCACGCTGTTGGACACTGTCAAGCCGCACATTGACAGCTCCACGGGCACCGTGCCCGCCCCGCCCATCACGTACAGCACGGCGCCGTTGCGCAGCGACACGTTCTGCACGACGATCCGTACGCCGTCGCTCGCCAACCACGGCACGAAAATGGCCGCATGAACGCCATCTATCACCACGTGGCGCAGCGTCACCTCACTCGCGCCGTTCGGCACGAGAAGCATCGACTGCAGAGTCGTGTTCTCAAGGAGGAATGCCGACGAGACGCCCCCGGGAGCGGGCGGCAGCGCCGTGCCCTCAACAGGCACGCACGCCTCCCCGTGTCCGCTGCCGCTGCACGTGCAGACGCACTCGCCGTCCTCCTCGCTCGCCGACGCCGTCCCGGGCGCGTAGCAGTACGTGTCCTTGTCGCACGTGTTGCACCCAACAACCTCAATACTTCCAGCGTTACCGAAACCGGCAGCAGCGTACTCGTCCGCCGTCGTCAGGACACTCCCGCCAATGCTGTTGCACGCCGCATTCATGCGCACCCCCGCACCTAGCGACACCTCCACCGACAGCATCCGCGTGAACAGCCCCCTGTTACGCGCGAAGCTCATCGTGCTGCCGCCCCTCGCGCTCACACCACCTGCGGAGTACAGCATCTCCTTCGTGACGCTGTCGTGTGTGTTGCCCTTCATGAGCAGCATCGAACCGTCAATGAGGCTCACTGTCGAGTGGAATGCAACCGCGTAGTCCTGCGTCGACGCGAAGTCGCTGCGTAGGAACTCCACCACCGAGCCAGACACGCTTACGGCACCACGCACAGACACCGCGTGCTTGCACAGCAGGAAGTCGCTGTCCACAAACGCGAGCACCGAGCCGCTGGTGACCGTCAAGTTGCCATCCACAGACACGCACACCCCCAGCGCTGTCTGCACAGAGAGATGGTCAATGTACAGCGCAGCGCCAGACGGTAGCACCACGCCGCCGGCCGCCAGCACGCCGACAGCGTCGTCGAACACCGCGACCACCTGCGTGCGCGCGACGGTCAGCACACTCCCCGCCAGATTCACGTCATACAACACGAGGCACGCGGAAGCGCCGCCAAGGTCGTAGCTGCCGCGGTACGAAACGGCCGTCTGTGCGATGAGCGTCGAGTCCACAATGGTGATGCGCGAGCCGGGAGGGTACTCATTCGACAGCAGCACGCCGCCGCCAGAGCGCGACACGAGCCCGCTGATCCACACGTCCACGCGCTGACCGGAAGTCGGGGCAGCCGCCCACCCCAGCACGTACAGACTCGCGCCGCCCACCATTGTGCAGTTCGTCAGCGTTACATTCAGCGCGCTGCCCGACATGGCGCTCAGGTCCACAACGACGTCCGCGGCGAAGGTCACGCCCACGTAGCACGCCACCGACGCCCCGAAGCCGGCGATCACCTCCTCCCCTACGCTCAAGTCCCGAACGCACGGGTCAGCGGTGTCCTCGTCCGGCAGCTCGGGCACATCGACGGGGAGGCACAGGTCGCCGTGTCCCTCTGCAGCGCATGTGCAGGCGCAGTTCTCACCCTCGACCGCTGCGGTTTGCGCGGGGAAGCACGACGCCTCGGAGCTGCACGGACCGCCGCAGCTCAGTGTTGTGCCATTGAGCTCATCCGGGATGTTGTAGTCCGTCACCTCATCACCGTTCAGCCTGTTGCACGCAGCCACCACCGACCCGTTGACGTTCTCTGTGGACCAACTGTAAAAATACACCACGCCAGGTGCGATTGCGCCAGACGACAAAATCTGGTTGTTCGAGATGGCAATTATGGAGCTTCGAAGTGACGCTGTGATAGCAAAGGAGGCGAGCCAGCCCCACGACTGCCCACGATACAGGTTACCGCTCAGGTGTAGCCACGAGTCATAGAAGATGTAGGAGCCGAAATCTGCCTGGAAGACGCTGTTGCTCGCCTGTACATTGTTGCCCCGAAGCACGACTGCGGACCGGGACTCTGCTCTCAGGTCGTAGAAGATCATGAGGAAATACAAAACCGTCTTCTGCACGACGTTGTTCTCGATCACAACGGCAGAGCTGTTCAGCACACTCAGCGAGGAGGATGAGGAAGACCCCATCAGGTACAACGGCGTACTCCCACTTCCATCCATGATGAACGTGTTGCCCAACACCGCGAACAGGGAGTTCCACGACACCTCAAGGACACTACTGACGATGTGAATCACGCGCGCGCCTGATGCGACGGCATGGAACGTGTTGCCAGTTAGCGTGACAACCGAGCGGTCGCTCACCATCAACCTGCCCGCCACAATGCAGGACGGGTTCGCGATACCCACGCCAGGGGGGGAGACCACTCTCGTGGTGGTGAACCGATTCCCACTGACGGTGACGTTTGTTCGCGGCGGGAACGTGCCTTCTGGGCTCAGCACGGCGTCGTCGAATACATTTCCAGTGATGGCGATGTTCAGCGAGTTCACTGTCGCTCCAATGCTGCCCGCCAACAGCAGCATGGCGCCGTCCCTCCACGTGCACCCGTCAAACGTGACGTTCACAACTTGGCCAGTCATCGTTCTGACGTCCACAGTGAGCTGCATGGAGGCCCCGCTGAACGTCACGTTGCGGTAGCACAGCCACGACAGCCCGTCACCAACTGTCTGCCTCACCTCCGGGTAGTCCATGTCGCTTACGCACTCGCCGAATGCTGGCGGCGCTGGCGCAGGGGGTGGCGGCGGCGGCGGCG